GCGTAACGCTAAAAAAGCACACCTAAAGAAAAATCCCAAATTCTAGTCTAAAAATACACAAATAAATAAAAATAAATAAAATCCAATGCTTTCAACTTGCGAGCGAATATGTTCCATGATCATCCATACCCTCCTCTTCTCTTCGCAAATTATTTCCCTCTTTACTTATTCTTCCACCCACAAAGCAAGAATGACCTGGTTCCAAAATCCCCTGGCCATCAGGCGGTTGACCATAAATGAATTCCAGGAACTATCAGAAAATCCTGCTGCGATTCACGTAAGCAGACCCTACTAAAGGTTGATTGAAATTTTGGCCATCACGCAAACTGTTCGTGATTTGCACCCCATCCTCCTGCGTACCCGTTCAAGGACGAAGAGAACCCACGTGACTATCTTTGGGGACAGCAAAAGTCTAAAAAAGGTTTTCTGTTTTCCGTCTGACCAGTGGCAGATGAACATTGCTGGGCGAATCGTCTCGATTCCAAATGGACTTCCCACTGAAATGAAAAAGACAGCAAAGTCTGTCGACTAGAGAATGAAACGACTGCTACGAAACTGAATCGACCAGCGAAACGCCTGTACGAGATGCTGTGGACTCCGAACATTTCCGAAAGAAAAGGAACCCAGGCAAATTGCCAGCCACCAAAATATTGTTTTAGCATAAGAACTCTCACTTCGGCGAATCAGAATTTTGTGTGGAAATATCAACTCGACTGACAAATATGTTGATTTTCTTGGCTTGATCTTTTTTATGTATATATATGTATTCGCTCGCCCCTTCTATTCTTTCATGGTCCCCTTCCTCTTCGTTAAATAAATTTTCTTTTTCTTTCTTTACCTGTTTATGTATTTATAAATAAATGTTTTATTTTGAAATCCATCGCCTTATATCTGTTCTTCTTTGACTCTCTTGTGTTGCTTCCATTTCTGAGTGAAGACCGAGAAAGGATCCCACATTTTCTTTTTTTTTTTAGCCTGTAGTTCATCTATATGCTACAAGTTCATAACAATATATATATATATATATATATATATATATATATATATATATATATATATATATATATATATATATATTATTTGATAGGATTAAGGACCAGTAGGAAACATATTTATAAAAGCTTAGTCAGTGATCAAGATAGACATGATAAAAAAGCAAAGAGACGCAGATTAATGATATGCTGTGTTTGGTTAATTCTTATTGGTTAAATACGTGTCACGTGTAAAATGAAATAACAGATACTATTCCAATATGTGTAAGAAACATTCTGGGTGCTAAAGTGTATAAAAGTGAGACGAGGCAGGATGCTTTCTTTTGTTTGATTTTTTATTAAAACATACCTCGTGCGTATTTTGTATATATCGTCATTGATTTTTATGTATTAGAAAGGCATACTATCCATACCTAATCTATCTATCTATCTATCTATCTATCTATCTATCTATCTATCTATCTATCTATATATATATATATATATATATATATATATGTATATATTTGTACATGTTCAGAAATGTTTAAGAATCATAGGTGTTTTCCCACTTCCCTTCTGCTATGTTCCAGAAAATTTTAAAATAAAAACCTTTTGCTTGTACGTCCTTCTGTATTTGTATCACTCGCTCTGATGTCATTCTGATCATAAATATCCCATTTATCTCTCTCTCTCTCTCTCTCTCTCTCTCTCTATATATATATATATATATATATATATATATATATTTGATTTAAAATATGATTTTTTTTTCGCTACACAGTTCTAACCATGTTTCAAAAATGGAAGCCAAATGCCCTGAATTTAATTTTGTAATCAAATTAAAAACATTAGTTCCATTTCATCCTCAAGCGAATTTTGGAGTAAAAAAAGTAAAAAGTTACTATTTTGTAAAAATCAAAATATCTATAAGAACACCGGATTATATATCTTACTGTTCTTTCTTTATATATATATATATATATATATATATTTGTTCATGTTCACAAATGATTAAGAATCATAGGTGCTTTATTAGGTTCCATGCGAAAATATGGTATTATGGTACATGTAGGGAGTGAATTGAGAGGGGATGGGTTCCTGTGGTGACTGCGTCAGTTTAGAGAGGATGGGTGACAAGTCGGATTAGCTAAGAGTTGGATAGGCAGTCTTGGCCAGCTTTTTCTCACTTCCCCTTCAGCCATGTTACACAACATTTTAAAATAAAACTATTTTGCTTTTACGACCATCTGTATTTATATTGCTCGCCCTGATGTCATTCTGATCATAAATATCCCATTTCTTGTTCCAATGTCTTTAACAATACTGTATTGTTCTTGATCTCTTTTCCGGTCTAATTCTGCTACGCGATCTATTCATCACAATCCAGAGACCGAGCATGGCTATGTGTCTCATTAAGCCCGATAAAGCTCGCATTCTCTTGCACCTAGCTTTTTTAAAAATGGAAAATCTATTGAATATAGACAATGAATAAAGGTTGATCTCTTGGGAAAAATGTATTCAATGTGGACTTGCAATGGCATTCACAAGAATTATACCAATCAGGAGCTTTATTTGTTCCATATTGTACACTTTCTTGACAATAAATACATGCTGTGATATTTTGGCTTTATTATACTTATTCCGGGGATGGAATCAGGCACAAATAAGTAACAACGCCAATAATAGAAATAGGAAAATATGTATATTAACGTAAGAATACAAAGTGAAATGAAGATTAGTAGTCCAGGAATGCGGGTTAGTAGAAAAATATATTTACAAGTCTCTGTAATTGAAGCCGTAATTATCTCTCTTTCAGGACTCTCGTAACTCTGAGTGAACACTCTTTGTCGACCTTTCTGTTGTCACGCTAACTCTCCGTAGTATAAATATTCATTGGACGAGTCCATTCTGTGTACAAGGGCGAGCCCCACAACAATAGGCAAGACCTTCACTGTTCCATCAACTGTAGACCAAGATCTAAAGGAATTGTACATCTAGTTTATATTTTGACAATTATATTTCATCTAAGATCCAAGGTTGCTTTTTTAAATGTCTACAGATATTCATGGCGGTAAACATAAAGAAAATTGCCACAAATGATTATTTTTTTTTTATTCAATCACTAAATATAAGTGATTATTTTCTAAACAAACTATACCAGACTGATTTGCGTCTTGTCATTTATTGAATTTAGTTGTCAATTTTCCACGCGTCACCGATTTATTTGTGTCGGGCGCTCAAATACTTTGTTGATCTCTCTGAACTATCATTGATCCTGGTCTTCTATGAAGTGCTCAATTTCCGTCTTCATGGCGGCTTGCTAATGTGGTTCAAAAGGAATCTTGCTGAATTGTGAAATCAATGCAACCTCAGACCTCTAAAGTCAATCTCAAGCTGGATCCCTAAATAATAGCACCGACAAATAGTATCATAATTCAGTATAAGATTTTCTTCTTCTATATGCCGTGTTCCTTCGGGACGTAGCAATCAGGCCCTCCACAATTTCCTATCCTTTATAGCTCTTAGTAAGTGTCATGGGTCCTTACCTATAACAACAGAATGAACTCTTCCTAACATTATGTATACTACGCCTCTCAATCAAAGATCTTTTTCGACTTGATGGTCGAACCTCTGCTTTTCAGCAGAAAGGAACCCGGACGAGGTTCCGCCGAAGGGCAGAATCTCGTTCGGGGTGAATGACCTACCCCCTGATCTCGTTTTTACGAGTCATATACGGGCATATTTTTGGCTGAGCCTACGGGCTCAGGAAACCCACGATAAAAATGACCTTGTGTCGCATGCAACCCTCGTGGGGGGTGGCTAGATACTGAATCCTTTGATGGTCGAACTCTGCTTTTCAGCAGAAAGGAACCCGGACGAGGTTCCGCCGAAGGGCAGAATCTCGTTCGGGGTGAATGACCTACCCTGATCTCGTTTTTGAGTCATACGGGCATATTTTTTGGCTGAGCCTACGGGCTCAGGAAACCCACGATAAAAATGACCTTGTGTCGCATGCAACCCTCGTGGGGGTGGCTAGATACTGAATCAAGCCGATCTTTTCGACTTGACGGTTGAACTCTCTGCTTTTGAGCAGAAAGAACCCGACGAGGTTCCGCCGAAGGCAGAATCTCGTTCGGGGTGAATGACCCACCCTGATCTCGTTTTTACGAGTCATACAGGCATATTTTTGGCTGAGCCTACGGGGCTCAGGAAACCCACGATAAAAATGACCTTGTGTCGCATGCAACCCTCGTGGGGGGTGGCTAGATACTGAATCGGGCTTGACGGTCGAACTCTGCTTTTGAGAGAAGGAACCCGACGAGGTTCCGCCGAAGGGCAGAATCTCGTTCGGGGTGAATGACCCACCCTATCTCGTTTTTACGAGTTATACCATATTTTTTGGCTGAGCCTACGGGCTCAGGAAACACACGATTGACCTATGCAACCCTCGTTCTAGATACTGAATCAAGCCGAGGACTTGACGGTCGAACTCTCTTTTTTAAGGCCCGGACGAGGTTCCGCCGAAGGCAGAATCTCGTTCAATGACCCCACCCTGATCTCGTTTTTTACGAGTCATACGGGCATATTTTGGCTGAGCCTACGGGCTCAGGAAACCCACGATAAAAATGACCTTGTGTCGCATGCAACCCTCGTGGGGGGTGGCTAGATACTGAATCGAGCCGAGCTTCTCGACTTGACGGTCGAACTCTCTGCTTTTCAGCAAAAATAACCCGGACGAGGTTCCGCCGAAGGGCAGAATCTCGTTCGGGGTGAATGACCTACCCTATCTCGTTTTTACGAGTCATATGGGCATATTTTTGGCTGAGCCTACGGGCTCAGGAAACCCACGATAAAAATGACCTTGTGTCGCATGCAACCCTCGTGGGGGGTGGCTGAATACCGAATCAAGCCGAGACGCTCGGCTTGACAGTCGAACTTCTGCCTCTGAGCAAAACCTGACGAGGCTCCGCCGTAGGGCAGAGTCTCGTTCGGGAGGTTGACTAACCCGATCCGTTTATACGGGTTCTACGGGCATTTTTGGCCGAGCCTACGGGATCGGGAAACCCATAGTTAAACTCGGCCTTGTGTTACATGCAACCCTCGTGGGGGTTCTAGATACCGAATCGAGTCGAGCCGATAGTAGTTCACTCCAAACCAAACTGACAGTCATACTAACAACTTCCAAATTTAAAAGCTCTACATGTTAAATTTTTTATTTTTATATTTTTCACACGTGTATTGAGCACTTAATTGTTTCCTGGTCTAATCCAACCCTGACCATTAACCTTTTCAGTATATATATATATATATATATATATATATATATATATATTAAGAAATGGACAAAGTCCGACAATTTATTTTATTAAAGACATTTTTATGTTTAACGTTCTTTTTATAGATACAAGTATTTAAGTAAATGCTCTGTTTATAATAAACAGTATTAAATAACATTTACCGGCCTGAATGTCCGAGAAATTTTCATAGAAAATATTTGTCCTTTGACAGGATTCGAACCTGCATCCTATACGGAACCGTCATTTACGCTGACGTGCCTTACCAATCGGCCACAAAGGAAGATTGAAGTTCATAAGCAGTAAATTCAACCTTGCCTACCGAACGATCCTTATATATATATGGGGCTGGTCGTAATAGATAGCAGTTGCCATATCTGGTCTGGTGTTTCTGCTGTGCATCTTGAGATTGTTGACAAGAAATATCTGTCGTGTAACTATTCTTGGCGAAGCATCTCGACTTCAGTCACTTTGTCATCGACGTGACGTAGCTTCTCTCTGTCTTTTCTACAAATATTTTGCGACTAGATTGGCATCTTGGTCCCACCCTTTTACTGATAAAATAAAATTAAATGCAGCGTCAATCGCCGTCTTCAGTCTTCTTGAAACCCCGTTCATTTTTCTTCTTGTGTTCCTCAATCTCCTTATTCTCAGTCTTCACTTTCACTTTCACTTTCTTTAAGCCCCTTTGTACTTTTGGCATTACCACCTTCCTTGAGGTGAAACGATTACACAAGAAAAAATAGCTCTGAAGGAGAAATTCCACTCGAATAACTTGCATTCAATGATGCGGAAATATACTTGATAAATCTATGAATCTACTGTTTCCCCTCATTAATGATGAAATAGTAGAACAGACTAGGTTGTTTAGCCTTGATTGGAAACTAGACTAGAAGGGATACTGAATTCAATACCGTTTGGAAACACTGAGATGCCCTATGCGAACCAATTCCTTTTATTCGATTCTTTCGAAATGTGTGGTTGGTTCTGCAGAAGTCTTCTCAATTACAATCAAATCATATGTACGAGTAGTCTGACTGTTCGATCTAAAGAACTGTACCTTCATACACAGAAGAATACAACAGAGTCCATCATATATATATTTACGTCATATGTCATATATATATATATATATATATATATATATATATATATGAGCGGTCACGTGTGACGTCACGAGTCGCGACGCGATTTTTCGCTTCCGGGTCTCGTATACACGAGTTTACCGTTGCTTGGAAATTTTCATGCAACAAAAAAGACTATCCTTATTGTTTCGTCCGTGTATTATTTGATACATTGAAATGTAATTGTCATCTTTGATAATGGTTTGTGTAAGCCTAATGCTTAGGTCGGATTTAAACATGTATCAATATGGTGATTTCCTTTCGTCTTTCAATGGTAATGTTATTATGCTTATCAGACAATATGAAAGGAACTTAAAATAAATAGACATAACTTTTCTATATTATTTAATGAAACATGCATCCATGAAAATTGCTGCCTAAATATACACAATAATATATATATATATATATATATGCATATATATATCACATAGATATCTACATATATATATATATATATATATATGTATGTATGTATCACAGAGATAAATATATATATATATATATATATATATATATAAAAATGAACACTGATCTACTAAATAAACGATCAGAACTCATCTCAAAATGCAGACATGAAAACAAATTTTTACTACGTTACTTAAGAATCGAAAATTGAAAAGAATAAATAAAAATAAATAAAATGAAAATAAAAAAAGTAAAATAAATTAATCAAAGCAAATAATAAACAAATTAGCAAAAAACTTCTGCCATAACATCCGTTAGAATACACTGTAAGGAATAAATAAAAACAACAATAAATAAGAAAAACTAGTAAAATAAATTAACCAAAATAAATAAACAATAAACAAAGTAACACACCGCTTTCGCCAAAATAACCGTTTGAATAGGCTGAAAAGAATAAATGAAAATAAAAAATAAATAAGCGAAAAGAAGTAAAAATAGTCAGTCCAAATAAATAAAGTAAATAATAAACAAATTAACAAACTACTCCCGCCAAAATAACCCTTAGAATAGTCTACAACAATCAATCCAAAAAATGGACGAATAAATACATTTAATTATCTTCCCAGACCAAAACAAACTACTCAATAAACGATTAGAACTCATCTCAAAATAATTTGACTACACTGCTAAAGCATCGAAAACCGAAAAGAATAAATAAAAACATATAAAATAAAAATAAATAAAAAACAAGTACGATAAATTAATCCGAATAAATAAACCACTGCGACCAAAATAATCGTTAGAATGGACTACCCATAATACACAACTGACCCGTGTATATAAATAGTCGAAAAAAACCCAAGTCATGTTGCCTGATGATAGTGTCTAGCATGAAACAGTCTGTCGTCTCTCTGTGTTGATATCAATGTTCACTTTTATATTTACATACGCTCTATCTCTGATAATGAGCACTTTATCCCATTAATATAGCACACCTTAAAACTATATTTCTTCATATATATATATATGTGTGTGTGTGTGTATGTGTGTGTGCGTTGTGCATATGCATGCAAAAGGCTAGAATTACTATAGTGAATATCTAAATTTATCTCAAACCTCAAATCCAATGAGAGTCTCGAAGGGTGGTCTCAAATTAGATTTTGAATATGATATGTTGCGCTTTGCCTTTAGAGTAACAAATTTTCTTTATCTATACATACAGATAAGAGACGTTATGGTTTAGCTATAACTTCCTACGCATAGATCTTCCCGAAAAGATAATCTCTGTGGCCGTTAGAGAAGGCCATTCTTTATCTGGTTTAATAAAATCAAGTTATATTTTGCGATATTGATGTTCGGTGACAGTGTATAAAAGTATCAATCTTATTGCCAAAAATGGAGTCCTACAGAAAATACAGAATGTATCTCAATTATACTTCTGAAGAAGGCGTTGTGTTAAACGAAATTGCTTGCTTCTTCCATTCTCCATTACAGATGACCAGCGACCATAGACAATTATTACGATTTTGAATATAGAATTGCCTTTCTAGAATAGTTGCCAGCAACGAATCGGGAGCTAAGTCTACCCTTCTATTTAAACTATTGCTGAAGAGAGAAGAGAGGGATTCATACATTTCATAAGGGTATTTCCGTGTAAGAGAATGTAATAAAATCGACTTATATACGAGCTCGGCTGTCTTATTTCTTATTTCGATCCTCTCTCTATGGTTATCCACGATTCTCATTAAATAAAGGTGACGTCTCTTGATCCGTGTCCCGAAAATTACTCGGAATCTGGCCACTGAACAGCAGCTCATCCGCCCTCATCGCAAGAATGAAACCATCGGCCATTTGAAGGGATTTCATCAAGGTTACTAAGGCTACCCATCTACTCCTGTTTTGGAACCAGAAAGCACATTCTCCTAGACAGACTGCCAACCAATTTTAACGACCTCTTTCTACATGTATCCTAAATGGCAGGCAACTATAATAGGCGAGGACGTTTAACACCCTGGTGTGATTTGACCTCTCGGATACAGAGAGTTTCACAGTCAAGAAGGTTCTATTTACCTACCTTGTTTTACTGTGAAAATCTCTGTAGCGATCAAAGCTCTTCAGATCATACAGTGATATCTACTGCAAAGGAAGATGCAGGTTTCGAATCCTGCCAGAGAGTGGGCATATTCTTTTTATTGAATTTTTACAAGCTCGCAGGCCGGAAGACGTATTAAATACTGTTAAAAATAACAAGCGTCTAATCAAATACGGTTATCCATTAGCTATAACGGTTGAAGTAATAAAGGTATGTCGGATTACAAAATAATATATATATATATATATTTGTAACAAACAGTTATTTCTGATGAAAAATTGAGACAATTTGAAATATCAAATATAGATATAAATACATAAATACTTTCATAAAGTAAAACATTATTTTTTTTTAATTTGAAACTTTTTCTATTTATATATATATATAAATTCCCAAGAGGAGAGAATTACTTTGGAATAGTTATTACGATCCAGTTCATCAGATCTAGGTCAGATGAATTGGATCGTGACTACGATTCCAGTGTAATAAATTATAACCATGGAATATTAGTGTTTAACCTTATATATATATATATATATATATATATATATATATATATATATATATATATATATATATGCATATATATTGTCACCATTTTTTTATTTTTCAATTTGCACATGCGCGTTGTTTGTTTTTTATTTTCTCGACTGCACAGTATAGTAAATTCAGCTAGACACCATCTGTGAGAAAAATTCACTCCACCAGAATTTTGATACGGCATGCTGTACTGCTTGTCATTCACACCGGAAGCTCCAATACGAACATTTAAGAGTGTTTGGGTGTCAATCTGAGGACATTGCAGATGATTCGGAAAAGTGTTAGATGAGTTTAATTGTTATTACGAAAGTGTTTGGATTGATCTGTTGTGAATACGACATAATACCTTCATTCATCTTCCCTCAGCGCTTCAGACTGGAACGGAGGCATTGAGGAGGTAGTGCTACACTGGGTTAAGAGGGTAGCTGCTGGAAGACTATGTTAGGCAGTAGGACTCTGCAACATGCCACACAAGCAGGAGAACCCAGTCATGGCTCTCAGACTATTTCAGCAACGACAACACCCCTTACATCTAGCCACCTAACTTCTCAGACTTCAACCCTCTTG